GCGGCCCCCTGCGCCTGCCAGAGCGGCTGCTGACCCCCGCGGGAACAAAGTCCTGTGGCGTCGTGAAGAGGACAGCCTGCTGTGTATCGCCGGGGCGGGAGCAGAGTCCCTTCGCGGCCCGGGGGCAGGCTGAGGTAACGCCGAGGGCCCGGCAGGGCTGGCGGTGGAGGGGGGCCGCCCCTGGGCCCCGCAGGCTGCTCGAGGCTGGCGGAGAGGTTCGGGCCGAGCCCAGGTGGAGGGGAGGGGTCTGTGGGGCCAGTTCGCGCCACCGGGGAGCTGACCAGGCCGTAGGGACTGGCCTGTGCTTCGGGCGGGCTCTGCGCTGCTCCTAGAATAACATAACAAAGTAGTCTGAATTGAGTCTCAAGTGTGACTTGAAAGTGACATCAGTAGGCACTCAGTTATGCTTGACTGAGGTTGCAGATCCTGCCATGCTCTCCAGTCTAGTTGACTTTCTTAACAGCTTCAGAATTTGTGGTGGGCTGTGCCAGTCGATTCAAACCTGACTACAAGGAGCTGTAACTTCCCCACATTACCTGCTGTGGCTGTGTTAGTGTGGCGATCCAAGAGCAGGGAAATTTACAGAGGAGGGTATATTTCACTGAACCAGTTGAAATTAAACAAGGGAAAATGAGGTAGTGTTGCTCATAATATTTATTGGAATAAGGATGGGGAAGGAGAAGATCGAACACTAATGCTGAAGGTGCTTTGTCTTAGAAGAGAAGATGACAGGAAGAGCTAGAGCCAGAGCAAGAGGAAGACCTCCAGGACAGGAGACTGCTATTCCTTCTGTGGGAGCTGCATCTGTAAGTTGGTTCTCTTTTTAATTAGCACAGCTCAGCTTTGAAATGTCATAGCTCAACTACTTCCTATTTTAATATCAAGTGTAGATGTTAGATGATATATGTGTGTATGTATATATTATGTCAGGTGTATACTTATATTAACTCCTTTTTATTAAGGAAGTTTTTGTGTGTTTACAAACAAGTACTCTGTTGTAATACAGTAGTCATAATAGAGCTAGTGGAAACAGGTAGCCACTTTCATAGTCTGCTTTGTGCACTGTGATACCCTGCAGAGAAGCAGAACATATTAGGCTGCTGCTGATGCATATTTGGGCGCGTGTGTGGCAGGTGTTCTGACCTCTTCCTGTTAATTTTAATATCAAGGACTTTCTGTCTCTGTATTAGAACTAGTGTTTAGGGCTTGTTTTGTGCATATATGCCCTGTTCAAACTGTAGCTTGAAAATGGCTGATACTTCTTCATTTGCAGCCGTTGCCACATACCCGGAGATTTTTTAAAGCAGTTCCTCAAATTCGTCAGTTATTAATAATCATTTTTCATTTGAGAATGTGATTAGCCTGGAGGAGTGTTCCTAGTCCATTTCTTGCCAGTGTCAGATGAGTTTAAATCGTGATAAAAGGTAGTTTACAGTTCTGTTTCTCAAATAGTGAAATGCGTCTTGCATTAGCAGTAGCATCGATGCACCTCCGGAACCTGGAACAGAATTTATGAACCTGAGAGAACTGATTGCTTCAACCTTGGTCTCTTTGACTTGACTAGAATTGTTAGCAGAAGTCAGGAGGTGGTATCAGCATCCTGCTGTGGGTGAAGAGGAAAGTAAAGGAAATGGTGAGGCTTAGGTACTTTACACAGGTTGTGAATATTGATGCAGTCTGAGTGGAGAAAAGTCTGTTTTGGCTTTTTTTTTTCCTGTATAGGCTGCCACTGTTCTACCATGTAGGCTGTGTATATCTCCCTCCAAGAGGGTTAGTTGCAGAAGTGTTTCCAAAGACATGTTGAAAAGAGGTTGCGGAATGAGTAAGCAGGCTTATATTAGATGTTTGGAGAATGAGGGCTCGGGCAGGCACTCTTGTCTCAGTTGAAGTGAGAACGCAATCTGTGCTGATCGCAGGGAAAGATGGGAACAACTAGCCATGTATTGTAGAAGTGAACCATATCATTTGACTTTTACACTGAACTCGTACAGAGATACCATGATACACCAAGTTTTTAATGCTGAGGTTTTTATCAAAAAACGTTAGTGAGATTTAAGGAGGTCAGGGGCCTGCCTTTCCTTACTCATGTCCTGACAGCCCTGTGATCTTTCTTGCTGCAGAGGTAGGAAAGAGGATAGGTTGGTCAGTCCCTGGGAAGTCCTTCCCAACATGGAGACTGCAGCCTCCAAGGAGGATACCAAGAAGATGGAGCTTGGCTCTTTGTAATGGCGCATGGTGGGAGGATGAGACACAATGAGTGCAAATTGAAGCAAGAGTTGTTTTGACTGGACATAAAGAAAAATGTTTTCATGAGAGGACAGTCAAGCACTGGAACAGGTTGCCCGCTGAGGTTGTGCAGTCTACATCCTTGGAGATGGGATGAATCTCTGAGCAACTGGATCAGACCTCGTGATTGACCTTGCTTTGAGCAGCAGGCTGGACTAGAGACCTCCTGAGGTTTCTTCCAGCCTGAATTATCCTGTGGTTCTATGAAGGACAGGGTGGTGAAAACCCCTTCCCCACACCCATACAGTGAACTCTATCCCAGCATAATCTCTTGCTTCAGTTCGTGACTTGGCACGGAGCTCTGCTCTGATCCTTTAATGGATGGGAAAGGAATATAGTCAGCTCGGGATAGTGGGGCTCAGTGCCTGGCTGTTGGACTAGAGAATCCATGCAGGTGACATTGCTGCTTCCTTCAGGGGCAGGGATGGAATATAGGTGAGAGGGGCAAAGCAGAACTGATCTTTCCTGAACTAGTTTTATGAGTACTACAGGGAGCACAAAGCTTGTGATAATACGCCGTTACCGTGATAGTGCTGGACTCTGATAATTTTCACATGTCCTCTTTAGGATTGTGTACGTTCAGTCTTTGCAGTAGTGCTTACAGGTATTTACAGACTTCTTAGAGGGTATACTTTTGACAGGTCTTATAACGTGTAAAAATAAGGTGGAGAGTATAAGAACAGAGAGGCCTGCTTAGTTACTGATCTTGCGTTCAGTGTCAGAACACGCTTATGGGAACCACAGACATGTGCCGAGTGCTCTGAGAGCAAAGGAGCAGAGGAACTCCAGGAACGGATTGCTGGCAGGCTGTGTGACACTGGCGCAGGGGGTTCCTACTACCGTGTTGTGGGACCAGACAGAGCTGGCGCTCTAGCTCAGGTTTCATGATCATCCTTGGTACTGGCCTCTTGCTTGCTTACACTTAAAGTAGAGAACTTGATTACTCCTGGAGGGACTAACTTGTGGGGTAGACTGCAATCCAGTAACGTGAAACTCTGAATTGTGGGATTGCTTGCGGCTGAAGGTTGTGTGTTGCAGTTCTTCCAGGCGTGACATTTTTAATATTATTTGTTCACTAGACACTAAAATTACAAAAGCTGGTTTTATAAAAATAAGTAGTCAGCTACTTGAAGTATCAGAGGAATTGTTAAAAATGAGAAGTCCAGAAACTTTAGTTAGAGCTTGGAAAGAGAAGGTTTGTATTTACTATTAGTTTAATAAATAGGAACTTACAAAAAAAAATTTCCAGAACCCCATTATGTTGGAGTTTGAAGTACGGAGTAATAACTCTGCTACTTAATATAGGAAAAAAGATTTAACCTTATATAACCGTTACACTTGAGTGTTTGGGTATTCTGTACTTGGTTAGTAGCTTTGTTTTGCTGTACTCTTGGAAGTACGCTGTTTCTTCAGTTGCAGTAGGAAGTTGTTCCCAACTATTGTAGGCTCAACAGACTTTGCCAAGTCAGCAACCCAGCCGTCAGCAACCTGAGCGGCCATGTGTTCCTCCATCAGTGTCAGAAGAACCTGGTGGCCGTGGACGACAGAGGGGCCCTCGGAGTGTTCCACAAGGCCAGAACGAGAGAAGGCCAGAAGGTCAGAAAGGGTGAAAAAGCTCATCGCCCACAAGAGCAAGTGTTTTGAAGAGAATGCAATTAAGACATTTTTTAGACTGTATTTCTAATTTTTCTTTTCAAAATGAGATTTGTTACTAAGATCTGGAAAAGTTCACTGTACAAACCTTGTGATGATAGTATTGCCATTCTAAGGTGCAGTATAACTGAACCAGGAGTTTTGAAAACTACCTTAAGTGTGCTCTAATCCATCTGTACCATCTCCTCTATCAACACAGTTTAAAAAAATAAGTTAGAAAGCAGTTGGTAGAATTAACTGCATGGATACCAATAGTAAATTTCATTTTGATATTTCATTGTTTTTCTTGAATCTTAATAAGGAAATGAAACTTTCTTACCTATTTCGCATCACAGTGTCTGTGTGCTAGCTGGAGCTGAAATGAAAGATCTGTCCTCCCTGTATTTGCAGAAGAGATTATCAATTTGAAGGGTTTACATCTGTTTTCATCTGGCTAGTGAGCTGTTCTGTTTGCTTACTAGTTAACTGTAAATCTTAGGAAGCTAATATGTGTTACCTGAATGTTACTTTAAGATGAATTTACTACATAGCAAAAGCTGAAACTTAACATTTCATGATTTCTCTTAATTTTATATATGTCTGACTTTCAAAATTGAATTGTGTTTAATTCTTATTTGTATATAAAAATTGATTGTAATTCTTCCTCTTTCTCAAATTTCAAAACAATAGGATTACAGATTTCGGCAGGATTTCAGGAATTGTCTTTAGCAGATAGGGGTGGACGTCGTAGAGATTTCCATGACCTCGGAGTAAATACTCGGCAAGCCATAGAACATGTTCAAGAATCAAAAACTGGTATGTTCAGATTAGACTATAGACATATAAGCAAGTTGAAATGAAAAATAGTTTTGCTTTGTTTCTGCTTTTAGTATCTCCTAGAGAGCTAAATAAAAAAAAAAATCTTCATCGTGTACTAGAAAAAGTTACAAGTTGCTCCCGATACCTGAAGAGGAGCAGTAAGATGACATGTCTGATGGTGAAGTGCTTCAGACAGTAGTTGTGTAGCATTTTAAATTGCAACTATTCAGACGTAAGTGATGATTCTTGTATGTTCCTGATGTCCACTTCTTCAAGCAGGACTCTTCAGGACTCTAGGTTTGCTTCTGGAAGGTCTGGTTTGTAACACATTGACCTATCCAGACTTCTAAAGATCTTCTAATAAATGTGGAATTTGAGACCTCTTCTGAAGAAACTTTTTAGTTTAAATAAGAGGTGATATGCATGATTTCATCTCAAGGAAAGAAGCGTATGAACAGAAGGAAAAGGAGGCTGTCATGATGGTCCTGCCTTCTTGCTGGAATGCATTCGTTTTTGATGTTCAACAGTGCAGGTTCTGTGCTGATAATAGTTTTGTATTGCAAGTGACTCTGTGAGATATCACAATATAACGGGAACCGTAGTCCACTTTTGCTTAATTGAATGATAACTAGAGCGTGCCACGGGCCCAGTAACGGTAGGGCTTAGTTCTGCTCAGGTCACTTTGGGCCAGAAGCAGCGTAGTTGTTTTCTTGCTCACCTAGATTTTCTATCCAGAGCTATGCTGATGCTAGATCATGGATCGCCGTACTTAGTAGGCAGCTGTATTGCTGGCCTTTTGTTTTTTCTTTATAGCTTCCTACAGTTTTCAAGTATAATATACCTGCTCTGTACGTGGTAGGATACTTTTGTTTTCATTTAGCGTGTTGTATTTCAGATAGGAAAAAATGGGTAATGAAAACTAAATTAAATGAATAATCCATCGTTGTCTGCAATGTATTTTTTGTATTACACTTGTGTCTTTAAAAGAAATTGAAATGAGACATGAAAAAATAAGAAGAAATACTTTAAATAAGTAAGTGACATGGAGCTAATTCTTACCATTGTGGGGTTTTTGTCTGTTTGCTTGTTTGCTCATTTGAAAAATCTTGAAATACCAAAAGCAATGTCATCTTGTCACATATGAATGGGAATGTGGATCTCTCTAGTGAGTGATACTCTGTTAGTTTTTTTCTTTATTTATGATTCATGTAAAGAAAGATTAATTTGTCCACAAAGGAAGTTTATGTTTTGGTGGAAATTCATCTCTCTTGTACCTGGTACTAATCCTTTGCGAGACAGGTTACTGATCTAAACACTTACCTCATTCGATGCGAGAGTTTTCCTGACAACTGAAGGAATTGTAAAAAGCTCTAATAAGTGGGTGAGTGTCTATGATAACACTGTGCCTATGTGAGCATTTCCTATAGCTTGCTGAGCTCGAACAGTTGCAGAACACAACTGACCTCTCATCTTTGTGTGAATGCCTTAGGTTTTTAAAATTTCTCAAAGCTGTTGAGTTACTATAAACTGGTAAAATTTTGTAACTACTGAGATGTTTGCCTCTCATTGCAGGTTCTTCAGGTATTATGATAAAATTAACTACAAATTACTTTCGTTTGACGTCTCGACCCCAGTGGGCTTTATATCAGTACCATGTTGGCTATAGTCCTGAGATGGAAGCACGCCGTCTTCGATCAGCTTTGCTCTTTCAGCATGAAGAGCTAATTGGAAAGACACATGCATTTGATGGATCAATATTATTCATGCCAAAAAAACTAGGGAACAAGGTGTGGTATGAGAATGCTATTTTATTTTTTATTTTGACTTGCATTTTGTGATGCTTCTTGTTTCTTACTGGTCTGGGTGAAGTTAGAGAATTGATGTCCCACGAGCAACATTTAGTTGGATTGATTATGTTAGTGTAAGCTGATTTGTTTGTGTAGAGAAATTTGGTAATACACATCTGGTTCTAATGCTTAGGTTCTGCAGGCTAGAATAGTCCTCTGCACAGGAGTGGACAGTACAGTATTTTTCCTTTAGTTTTCTTTCTGCTTAGATCTTTTCATAACTTCTATATTTTAACATCCAACATAATTGAAAGGGTGGATGTATTGGGTGTATGTGGCAGGGTTTTGGTAGCTGGGGTGGGGTCTGAGATGGCCCCTATGGGAAGAGGTTAGGGGCTGCCCTGTGCTGTACACAGCCATTTCCAGCTGCCTTCACAACCGACCCACCACAGACCAAAGCTGAGCCCATCGGCAAAGTTGGTGGCACCTCTTTGTAGTTAAAAAAGGGGAGAAAATGCCAGAGCAGAAGAAAAATCTGAGGAGAAAGGAGCAGCAGAGGGAAAACACCATGTACTGATGGTAACCCCTGCCTCCACCACTTGTTGCCTCACTGAAGGGACTGAACGTAACCAGTGGTGGTAACAGGGGGGCAGAGGAGTCCGGAGTGAGGTTGAGCCTGGAAAAGGGAGAGGGGGAAGATGTTTTCACAATGTGTTTTAATGTTTGTCTTTTTGCATCCTAGTACCTGAATTAGTAATTAAATATGTATTAATTGGCAATATATTTATTTCCTCAATTTGAGTCTTTCCCATGATGGTAATTGCTAAGTTATCTCCCTGTCTTCATGTTGAATTCAGGTGCTTTGGGGATAGCTTCCATTCTACTCTATCAGTTGTCTTCATCAAAAGGATCAAAGCATTTTAGGTTGTAGTTTACAGTTATGGTAGGAAATCAAATTCCTGTTTCAGCTAAGTCTTGAATTATTACTTAGAATCTTAATGTACAAGTCCAATTTGATATTAATGGAGCGAGGTCCAGATATAGCCCTGTTTACCTCTAGTTTTATTAACCTAACTTCACTTTCTCAGGTTACTGAAGTGTTTAGTAGGACTCGAAATGGAGAGGATGTGAAGATAACAATTACATTGACTAATGAGTTGCCACCTACTTCACCTACATGTCTGCAGTTTTACAACATCATTTTTAGAAGGTTTGCTGTCCAAATTATGTCTTTATAAGAAGCCATTCTAAAAATATCTGACTTAAGTTTTTCCTTTCTGAAGAATGGACTACAAATCAATATTACAAATGTAAATTTTTTAAGGCTTTGTAGCTACTGTTACTATGTGGCCAACCACATATCTGGCAACATTTTAACGTGCAGTTATATGCATGTTTCTGGCACATGTTAGTGTGAAATGAGTTTATACCTTTTCCCCGAGCAAGCAGATTTACGCTGGAGTGCTAACTGCTGTAGGCGGTTAGTCCTATCTCTGCCCTCCTTTTGTGTTTTGTGGATTTGCCTCTTAAAGCACATAGTAGTGCAGGACCTTGAACTGGGAAATTACTTTTTTTTGCTGTAGACTTTCCACTTAACCTTGGTACCTGGACTACCTGGTTCATCTGAAATGCAGCTTGTTTAGACTGCTACCTTGAACTGGTTGGTGAAGGGTTGGGTTGTATGCTAACTTATTCTCAACTGATTAATTGTCATTAATAAGTGTCCGTGGACTTTCTAAATTGAGTTTAATGAAAAGTTCACATTTGTGACTGTTTCATGTAGTCAGATGAACAGAAAATGAGGTGGTGCAGAGGGATGGAACCATGCGTAGTTTGATAAACTGAATAGTCATGGTAAATGACATCCATATTTCAACTTCTAGGCTTTTGAAGATGTTGAATTTGCAGCAGATTGGACGTAATTATTACAACCCCGGTGACCCAATCAGCATCCCTAATCACAGGTTTGGCGAAAGGGATACTCAGGTTTAGGAGGGGCGCAGGGAGAAAGGATGATATTTTGATAACGCTCTGGTGGTTTATTGTATAATAAAACCATGGACTTAAAGACTGGTATTTCTGGGAAGCATGGCCTCGTTCTGACTTAGTTTCTTCTGTGTGTAAGATCTCATTACTCTTTACCAGTGTGTGTTCTGCTATTACATTTTACTCTAATGTCAGAAACCTTGCTTAAATGTCTGTAAGGCTGAGATCTCTGAATACTTTAATTCTAAAGCTCAGGAGTGTCCAGCCTTCATTTTAAGGCCATTGAATCTGCCGTGTAAATTCATATCTGGCCATACCCCGCTGGATGGATACTTCTGGAATTCACCTGTTGCTAGTTGTCATGTCTTGTAGGGGATCCTGGCAGGGAATGGGGGCAACGTGACTGATGCTTCTGGCTAGCCCTAGGCCTGTTGTACAAGTTAGTAAGCTTGAGTTTGACTGGGGCCCCATCATATGGCTGTGGCTTACTCCTTGCCAGTCTACATAACCTGACTGATGGAAGAAACTGGGCAGTGTTCTACTAGATAAACTGTTGGTCTTTTTGTCTTTAAAGTGTCCTGAATGCCCATATACTTTGTATTTAAGATATTTAAGACTAACAGTATGAAATGGGTATCTTAGGTTTTGAGGCATCCTTTCTTTCACTTCGGTTATATTGCTACATCATTAATTTAATCTTTTTTATCTTAAATTGAATAAAGATACCTGCATTTAAAATATTTTTGGTTTTATTAACTTTCAGGAGCTTTTTTGTATTTGGATAATGGTTTCTTTGTGTCTTGACTGCTTTCTAGTGTCTGGGAAAGTAGACAGAAATAACTCAAGGGGTGAGAATAGAGATGCTTTAAAGCACGTTAAGATTCTTTATGTTCCCTTTTGACAGGTTGATGGTTTGGCCGGGCTTCACAAGTTCTATCCTCCAGTATGAGGAAAGTATTATGTTATGTACAGATGTGAGCCATAAGGTTCTTCGCAGTGAAACAGTGTTGGATTTTATGTACAGTCTGTATTACCAGGTTGAAGAACAAAGATTTAGAGACGCCTGTGCTAAAGAGCTGATAGGTTTAATTGTCCTTACAAAGTAAGTATCCTTGGACTCTTGTCCTCTTACAGATCTGTTTATTTTTTTGGATTTTCTGTCCCCTGAAGTATACAACAAAGCATCAGAAAGCATGAAAGTGATATCATTGGCAAGCTAGCAAACTAATCGAGGTGACAGCATTTACAAAAGCAGGAAGTACATACTGGATTAGTTCTGTTTTCATTTGGTTTTATTACAAATTAGCTTTTAGTAGAATTGATTGCCTGTTACAATTGAAAACTTGAAGTTACTGCTGCTGATAGGAGCAAAACTTACATAAGTATTGCTATTAACTTTTTCATCTTGCAGTTCTATTTCTTCTCCATTTGAGTTAAGACTTAAAAACTGATTAAATCGTTTATTTAGGTACAATAACAGAACATACAGAGTTGATGACATCGACTGGGATGCCAATCCACAGTGTACCTTTAGAAAAGCAGATGGTTCTGAGATCAGCTACGTGGACTACTACAGAAGGGTATGGAAACTTAACTGTCAGTGTGTGCGTTATGCTTTAATGTGAAACGTTAGAGCATTGTTGGAGGTTTACTTATGATGCATGGATTTGTAATTCATAATTTTCTTTAATAGAATTTTATTTTTAATGGATACTATGTAATCAGAGAGCAGTAAGTAACCTACGCAGCATGATTTAGCATGAGTAGTCCATCCCAATGAGTAGTTGGTCAGGCAAAAATGCCAGGAGGCCTGCATGGGTGAACAAGGGGCTCCTGGGAAAACTCAGAAAGGAAGCATACAGATGGTGGAAGCAGGGACAGGTAATCTGGGAGGAATACGGAAACATTGTCCCAGCATGCAGGAATGAGGTTAGGAAAGCCAAAGCCCAACTGGAATTGAACCTGGCCAGGAATGTTAAAGGCAACAGGAAGGGCTTCTATAAGTACATAAGCGACAAGAGGAAAACTAGGGAAAATCTGACCCCACTGCTGTGAATGAGGCAGGGCCCCTGGTGACACAGAATGTGGAAAAAGATAAGGTACTGAATGCCGCCTTCATATCAGTCTTTACTAGCAAGACTGCCATTCAGGATTCCCAAGCCCCAGAGACCAGTGAAAAGTCTGGAGCAAGGAAGACATACTGTTGGTGGAAGAAAATCAGGTCGGGCAATACTCAAGCAAATGAGGCATACCTAAGTCCATGGGCCCTGATGGGTTGCACCTACAAGTAACTGAGGCAGCTGGCTCATGTCATTGTGGTGGTGATAAGGAAAAGTCCCTGAGGACTGGAGGAAATCAAATGTCGCTTCTATCTTGAAGAAGTTCAAGGAGGTTGACACAGGGAACTACAGGCCAGTCAGCCTCATATTGATCTCCAGGAAGGCGATGGAGCAGCTAATCCTGGAAACCATTTCCAGGCATGTGAACAACAAGAAAGTCATCAGGAGTAGTCAACATGGCTTCACCAAGGGAAAGTCGTGCTTGACCAACTTGATAAACTTCTATGATGAAATGACTGGCTTGGTAGATGAGGGGAGAGCAGTGGATATTGTCTGCTCAGACTTCAGTAAGGCTTTCAACACTGTCTTCCATAAGATCCTCGTAGAGAAGCTGATGGAGTGTGGGCCAAATGAGCAGACAATGAAATGGATTGAAAGCTGGCTGAATGGCCAGGCCCAGAGCGTGGTTATTGGTGGCATGATGTGTAGTTGGAGTCCAGTAACTAGTGGTGTACCCCAGGGCTCGATACTGGGTCCAGTCCTGTTTAATGTCTTTTATTAATGATCTGGATGATAGGGCAGAGTGTACCCTCAGCAAGTTTTGCTGACAAATTGCTGGAGATAGAATAGATGGACAGTCATCTTAAGAGACATTACTGTTTGATACTTTTGGTTCTTTGAAACAAAGTTTATATGTGTCTCTCATAGCTTAACCTTCTCTACCATTGAGGCCTGCCACTGTAATTGTGAAATATTTCTGCACATCAGTTTCAACTGTAAAACAGGATGGGATTTAATAAACTAGAAGCAAAATTCTTATTATCCATTCTAGTTCCGGATGGAATTTAAAAATAATAAAATTTCTCTGCCGCCTTGCCTTTGGTGTGATCTTTTTTGTTTTTAAATGCTATCCTTTGGATGGTTTCTGAGCTCTGGTTCTCTTTAAGAAAAAGTTAAACTATGAAGTATGTTTGACTGTCAGCTTGTGTCACCTTCTTGTGTTTTGCTTTGTTTTCTTTTCCCTCCCCCCCTAAACTAAATTAGTGACTGCTAGGCAGACCAACTATTGCCAGATGCAAGGAGGGGTTGCAGGAGGGTTGAATTTCAGAAACTTCACTTGGAATCTTGTTTGATTCTTGTGATGTCTTGAATTGAATTGCTCTGTAGGGCAGGAACCTTGTCTGTTAGTGAACTGGAATGAGCATCCTAATCTTGAGTTAGATACTATGAGTGATACTGCCTCAAGCAAGGCAGAAGCATTGTTTCTGTTGTCTCTTACAAGTCAATAATTTGGTGGCACCAACAGAGAGAACAGTGCTTCCCTCTTTGGCCTTTTCTGACAAAACCAGTTTCTCTCTAGTTAGTCATGCTAACTGAAAAAAGTTGCTGGTTGCTTTTGTTTTGTTGGTTTTAGGAAAAATACTGATTTTTGTTGTTTTTTTTATGAATAAACTTAACATACAATATGTATTTCTAATACAGCAATATAATCAAGAAATTACTGACTTGAACCAGCCTGTCTTGATCAGTCAGTCTAGGAGGAAGAGAGGAAGCATGATGCTAGGACCTGTGGTTCTAATTCCAGAGCTGTGCTTCCTAACAGGTACTGTAGCATTTTTTCGTATCAAAGCACCTGTCAAACCATAATGCCTACTATAACTGGTGTTTTGGCAGCAGCCTCTTGCCAAGATAAGTAGAAATGTTTTGTTTGCAGAAATGTGAGTTTAGAAACAAGTTCTGTAGCTAAAAGATTAGACATTTAAATGAGGCTGAAAAGTTTGAGGGGTTTTGATGTGGCGTAGTCTTTATGTACGGTGTTCAGCATTGGCCCACTGATAACTTGTGGAGTTCTTTGGCGGTAGAACTTCTGTTGAAAAAGAGAAATTTACTATAAATTGATAATTTTCAAAGATACATAAATATGTATTTTCCTCTGAGATACGCACTTTGCACTAGGAGTACCTGTCTATCTCAGCGCTGTTTTGTTTTGCTTTGGAAATGTAAATAAAGAGCTGCATGTCTTTTGTGGTTTCCTCTCAAGTGCAAAAATCCAGAAATCTTTTTTTTCTATGCAGATGGGAACGTATGTACAGGGAGCAACTGAAAACCTTTATTACTACTGACACCACTTTACATGTCTGCAGTACATGCGTAGTTAGTCTGCACGACTTGCAAGTTTACTTTTCTTAGTCCTTAGTCTAACTTTTACTCAGAAAAAGATTTTGCTGTTAACAGGATTAACTGAGAAGATGCGTAATGATTTTAATATGATGAAAGACTTGGCTGTTCATACGCGACTGCCACCTGAGCAAAGGCAACGTGAAATTAGAAGACTTATTGACTACATCCAAAAGTATGCTGCCTTAGTATCTTCTGTACTTCTTTGTCACGAAAAATTTGTATGATAAACTTTTCTGCAACAAACTTTGGAAATCTACTGGTTTTAGAAAAGTCTCAGCAAGGACAAATTCCTTTGTTTTAATTTAAATCTTGTTTTTAAACAGAGATGACAATGTTCAGAAGGAACTCCGAGACTGGGGTTTAAGCTTTGATTCTAATTTATTATCCTTTACGGGAAGAGTTGTTCAAGGAGAAAAGATTCTTCAATCAGGAAATGTGGTAAATAAAACAGCTTCTAAAATCTTCTGGATCTCTAACTGATGAAGCAATTTCTTAGGGAAGGAAATACTACTTGTTGGTTTATAAATGAAGGATTATGAGTGAAAACGTTATACACAAGTCTTTGTCCAAACAGGAGACTCGCAAACTTCTTAAATTGTTTACAAGTTCTGTTTAGAAACACCTGAAGATTTTTCTGGCTTGCATTACAATAGTGTCTTCCTTGCACAACAGTCCCTCTGTCTAAACAGAGTCATTTCAGATACGCAAACTAGGAGACTAGAGATGTTTCTAACTAGCTTCCATTTATTAAAACACCAAGGCTTTCAAATGAAAAGCCACAATTATTTCAGTTCAGTAGATAGAACACATACAGTAAAGGTGGGGCGACTCTTCAGTATGAATAACTTAGATTTCCAATAAGTCATAAATTGTCATAAAACATTATATATTTGCTCTGTAGTAGAGGTATTTTGTTTTGAATGGATGCTAGATTGAAAAGGGCATTCTGCAGTATCTTGATCTGTATATCTGTGTATTTGGTAAAGCTTTTTTTATTCTTGTTATTGAAAATATCTGGTATCTTCCTTATAATAATACTTTTCTTTTTCTCAAGTAATTACCTTATTAAAAAGAAAAATGGGGGAAAAATAAGTCAATACATAAACAGCTATGTCTTTGTAGCACAAAAACTGTGCAGCAAGTAGTAATAACTTATCTGGGTTAAAATCGTAAGTATTTTGCATAATTAGGAGTGAAAGATTTGAAGAGTGTAGGATTTCTTGAAGGGGCTAGATAAAGCTTATTTTAAATTAGTGACAATAGCAGTAAAAGAACAGATAAAAATCAAGTCATTTGTTCTAGGCAGAAGTGTTACAGTCTGTTCCTGAAGTGTATCAGGAAGTAGTTGTGGTATAGCTTGTCTGGTAGGGTTTTGATTTCCTTTCTCTCCCATCTCTTATTTACAGTTTGATTACAATCCTCAGTTTGCTGATTGGTCAAAGGAGACTAGGGGAGCGCCCTTAATCTGTGCAAAGCCTCTGGACAACTGGTTATTAATATACACACGGCGCAACTATGATATTGCCAATACATTACTTCAAAATCTGTTTAAAGTCACGCCATCTATGGGAATCAGAATGAACAAGGCAACCATGTAAGTGTCTTTAGAAAGCTGATGGAAAAATCATTTTATACTTATTAAGGTGTATCTGTTAGCATGCTTAGGCTGTTAAATGAGGAGATAGTATAGAATGTCACGCTACCGACTTCTGGGAGATTTTTAGTAACACAAAGTTGCTTTCAGTATGCAAATTGTTCAGTTTTCTCTAGTGACTGATTTTCTTACTCGTACTTTTATTTGTGAGAGCCTTCACTGGGGGTTAAAGCATGCCAAAACCAAACAGTATTAGACATATAGTCATTGAGCAAAACCTTCTCTGGTGGAGCTTTATGTAATGCAAGACGAAACATATATTTTCTTGCTGACTTTGCACGTATTCTGATTTGTTCTCATTGCAAATATCTTCCTTGGAGTACCCGTGCTTGCTTTTAAATTTGAATTTCATTGCTCTTGGAAGCCTAAATAGGGGATGATTCCTCTTAATCTTCAAAATGTGTGAATATTGTACATTTATTAATAGCTATGAATGTGACACTTCATACAGTACTGATGCATAACGAGTGTTTATGTTTTTGCTGAAGTTTCAGTAGCTGTTAGTTGGGTTTTTTTTCTGTAAGCATTTTTTCTCTTTCTTTTCAGGATTGAAGTAGATGATAGAACAGAAGCTTATTTAAGGGTTTTACAGCAAAGTATTACCCCTGACACGAACATAGTATGTATTTGAATCCATAATTTCAAATCATGTCAATCTCTGTAAGTGGTGTTCTAAGACCAGTGGGATTCATTCTCAGAAATAAAACTCTTGGCTCCTGAGTACCTACTACCTGCCTACTCATACTCCTGTTCAAACCCCAGACTAACTATGAGTATCATTCTGGAAAAGAGCCTTTGTACTTGGCTCTGACATACAGACACTGAAACTTTCCAGGTATTTCTTTCACTGTGAACACTTGAATATTTCTCTTGAGCATAAGAAACTTTTTCTAAGGAACTACAACTGTTATACAAATCTGAGAATGCAGCTGCTTAAAAACATTTTTTTTTTCCTTTAAAGGCAGTTTGTGTTTTGTCTAGTTCCCGAAAGGATAAGTATGATGCTATCAAGAAATATTTATGTACAGATTGTCCCATTCCAAGTCAATGTGTGATTGCTCGCACTTTAAGCAAGCCTCAGACTGCTATGGCCATAACAACAAAAATTGCCTTACAAATGAACTGTAAAATGGGTGGAGAACTTTGGAGCGTTGAGATCCCAGTAAGTAATTTTTTTTTGAAATGGTAACTGTTTTCTTTATTGAGCCTTATTTAAAAAGCAAGTTTTTCCTCAAAAAAGAAAATTGAGTATTCTTTGTGCGGTTTGTTTTGTGTCTGTGAGAAGAGGCATGAAGTTAAATATGACATAAGGAGACATTTAATTAAAGAATTCGGTGCCCATGGTTTACTTAAGTGTCCTGAAACCATACAGCTTATGTCATGATCTTGTCACACTGTAGGATGGAGATGATAGGTGCTTTGGCATGTCTTCACGTACTAATACCTGTTCTGTATTGACTCTTTTTAAGCTGAAACAGGTAATGGTTGTGGGAATTGATTGTTACCATGACACTGTATCTGGAAAGCAGTCAATTGCAGGATTTGTCGCTAGCCTGAATCAAACAATGACACGGTAAGATTTGAATGCGGAAGGAAAAAAAGAAAAAGAGAATCTTTATCTTAACCGAAAAGTAGCTTGAATGTGGTGGGCCATCATGAAAGTGTCCAAATTCATTTACTGTACATTGCTAATAAGAACTATATATTGTGAATTCTTTTTTCCCCTGCATCCCTTAAGGAATAGCCTTGTCCTTCTTCCACAGTGTGTTGGGAGAAGGGGGCAAATGGTGGGGCAAGGGCTGGGATGAATAGAGGGCATCAGGGTGACAGGCTCTTCTCCCTTTTGAGTTGACTTGTGTGAAAGCTTTCTGATTGAGAGGAATTGCACACGGTGGGGTATTTGTCTAACCCAGGGGCTTTGTGAGGGAAATATTCTCATAGTACACTAACCCTTACTTGACTGCCTTGACCCACAATAGCCATAAAGGCGAAGTGGTCACAGCCATTTAAAAAATAACTTCACTGAGGTAAGCCTGGGAAATGCTTCGAAGGTCATCTTTTATTTTGTTCTTCACAGGTGGTTCTCCCGCTGTGCTGTTCAAGGTCGTGGGCAAGAACTTGTGGATGGGCTCAAAGCCTGCTTGCAAAGTAAGGGAAGGCATTCTGCTCTCGTTGAGTCAGATCGAAGGAATGACAATTTACCTTCCTTGAAACACACCTCCTCAGCTGCCCTGAGGGGAGGCATTACCAACTTGCACTTAGATAAAAACAGATTAAAAATACAGTTGTAAATATTGCCGAAAATTAATAGCATTTTCTGTACATCCTTTCATTGACTCCTGTATTTCTTAACAATACTTAAGTACTACTTATCAACGCACTTCAAAGAATGCTTTAAAGAAGACGGATTTAAAGGATGACAGCTCCTTGCTGTGAGAGAGGCCAGCAGAGTAGATAATCTCCTTAGGTTCTTTCTTTTTGGGTTGGTACACAGGTAAACCAGAATTCTTTTTGCAGGTAACATTTGTGTATCATGAGGCATACCTGTTTCAGGTTACTGAAAGACTGAGGACCTTAGGTTTCAAAACTTACTGCTGTTCTTCCAGTAATAAAAATCCATTTTTGTTTTGGAATGAATTGTCATTATAAGTAACAGCTCTTTTTATTTTTTTAAGCTGCTCTAAGAGACTGGTTCAAGTGGAATAAGTACTTGCCCTCTCGTATTATTGTGTATCGTGATGGTGTAGGAGATGGACAACTAAACACTTTGGTTAATTACGAAGTGCCTCAGTTTCTGGATTGCTTGAAGAGTATTGGTAAAGACTACAAGTAAGTCTGTTTCCACCAACCCCCTTTTTTTATACTGTAAGAGAAATATACACTGGGATACAAAGAGTGGTTACAGATGAAGATTTGTCATCTTTTCATCCTTATTTATTTTTACTTGAGCTCAGGTAACTGTTTTTCTGATGATTGTTTATGTGATTTGAGTTACCTAACTTGTAATGTAGTAGGAAAAGTCTTTAGTACATGCACCACAGGAGTATTCAATACACGCGTATACACACGTGCACATACACTCTTTAGGCATTCTTGATGCATATGGTAATTAATACTTTTTTTCAACTGGTTGATCACAGCCTGATTACTATCACATGTGTCCGGTAGGTCCATTTTTTTTCTTTCCACTTCTGAAAGGACTGGCTATTGCCCAGTCATTTAGGGTCTGCACAGTTTCCAACGTTATGCTTTAATACTTATCAGCTGCAGTGACTTGGTTTCTTAATCTGCTCTGAAAAATGAAAATATTTCCTGACACTGCAGGCAAGCGGAGCACAAAGCAAGTTATAGATAGTAGGAACTGAAGTGCTTACTTCTGTTTAGCTTCTGTTAATGGCTTGCTCTTCACCAAAAATACTGTTAAAACACAGTGTTTTCTATATGAAAAGATGAGGTAGAGAGAGAATAGAAATCAGATCTGTATTTAGAAGATCCCTTTTTGGTCTGTTTTGTGTCTCCCTATGAAGTTTAAATATAAGCTGGATTGGTGAGAAATAGTATAAAAGTTGCCCCTGAAACTAAAAATCTAAAGTTACGAACAGTGTCCTATTTAATCTAAATCATGAATCGGTGGAGACTGACATGTGAAATTAATGCCATGGAGAACTCTTTAAATTGCTTTTAATTTGAAGCTCTAGAGAATCTGCTCCTGAAATACTCTCGGTGCAGTTTTTCAGGATAGTTTTTGGTTTTGTTTCTCTTTTATTTTCATTTCTTTTAGTCCAAGACTTACTGTGATAGTTGTGAAGAAAAGAGTGAATACCAGATTCTTTGCACAGTGTGGTGGAGCACTTAAAAACCCACCCCCTGGTACTGTTGTTGACGTGGAGGTTACCAGACCAGAGTGGTAAGTTAGTAGAGACGCAACATTTCTTCTGTTTGCTGGCAACCTGGTAATAAAGGAAATGTATCCGATATTAAATTGACTGTGGGATCAAGTAGAAGAATACTTTCCACACTTCTGTCTTTTTGAAAAGAAATTGCAGTGAATGTGTAGATGACAGAAATGGAGAAGCTTAAATTTTATGAATTCATTATGCAATTCTTTCATGGTTTCCAATATGTAGTATTTGTATACATCAGAGTATTATATATGCTTTAAATAAGTGTCGGTGTGTTTCACTCTTTGGTGTTTCTTTTTTTGATTTTTAAAGGTTTAGTACCGAATGAGTGCCTGTCGATAGGATTGCCCAACTGTCCCTAACCGCAATGAAGTTCTGTCTGGCTGTAGTTTTGACATTGCACATAAATTTTGTTCCTCTGTAAGGGTGTATTTTATGACCAAGTGTTAGAAGTATTCTTTGGTGGTTGGGAAGCCACTGGCAGACGACTCAGAATTGTACGGTTACGTGTGTAGGTAGAACACGTACACAGATCTCATTGACTTCACTCGCTTGCTGTCAGTATTGAATGTTTTTGCAAGGCACGCTCCATGAAACTCAGGTCAGGTACGTGGGAGATGCAAAGCTTGCTCAGTACACGATGACAGGTTTGACTTTGGTCGAGGGACGCTGGAGCACGTAGGGAACAACGCAGTCTTCTGTGGCAGGGCGCAGTTCCGATGATAGGTAGTTTTGCCTTTCTGTTTTTGTATTTTACCAACTCGCTGCAGGTGTTCCAAGTGTTGTGATGGGTGACAACCATCCATACGTGGCTCGGGGTGCTAGAGCAAATGAGGAGCATAAGCTAAGTACGTGTGCAGGGTGGTTTTCAGGAGGAGAACTGTGTACGATGAATGGTTAAGATCTTCATGGTCTTAAGACCTGTTCCATGTAACAGGATTATTTACATTCTTCCAGATCTCTTGGCCTTTCAGAAATAGAGGAAACTGATTATTTTGTGACCAAAGCACAGACATACTTTTAGGGTTTACTCAATATGCATAAAGTGACTTGAAGAAAACAAGTAAGACAAAGTTGTGCAGACTTGCATTTTTCTAAGAAGAGCAGCCCTTTCTGTACCAGACTTCTGGGGTTTTGTTTTTTCTGTTACAGGTATGATTTCTTCATTGTGAGTCAGGCAGTGAGAAATGGTTGTGTTGCACCCACTCATTATAACGTTATTTATGACACTAGCAAACTGAAACCAGATCACATACAACGTTTAACCTACAAACTTTGCCACATGTACTATAACTGGTCGGTAAGTATTTCCGCTGGGAAATGGTAATACTTTTCTTCACGAATTGTGTCTCTCTCTCTGCAGTAACAACCCACAAGAAGGCAGAAAAAGGTATCCTTAAAACACCCATGCAGATCCAAAAAGCCTGCAAGAGTGCCTCTTGGCCGACAGTGGTGGTTTGAGAACTAGACACTTTAGAATTATGATGTGATCTCTCTGAAGTCTGAAGATTAAAGTAATCTTTATTCTCACTAGAAAATACTTGTTGTTTTGAGTATTGGTCCCAAATTCTATGTCAAAAGCAAAACTGAAATAATTATTTCTTACCTGACTTTGTGTGGAGATGGAACTGTGTTCCTCCATTTCCCTTGAGGCTTCTTCTGTTGCATACCAAGATGAGCACACAGTCGGCTCACGCCTGAGGTGTGCTTTAGATTTGTCACTTCAGTAATCATAAATACTTCACGTCACTTACCCACGTCCCACCTTGATGCTCTGAGATCCAGCATCAAATGTAAACCTGCTAAGAGGCGCTTTTGGAGTGAGGAGGGGCATGGAGTTGGCAAGTTTTTTGCATCTGTTCTTCTATAAAGCAGGGGTTTTTTTAATGATGTGTTCAGTGTATGTAATGCTGTTTTCACAAATCTGCATAAACTACAGGGAATATAAATTTTACATGTATCCAGACTTTTGCATTCCAGGACTCTGTTACAGTGAATGCATGCTTATTTAAATGAGTTGAAAATAATTCCTTTTTTTTTTTTTCCCCTCTGCAGGGTGTTGTCAGAGTACCTGCTCCTTGCCAATATGCTCATAAACTGGCTTTCCTTGTCGGTCAGAGTATTCACAGAGAACCAAACCTGTTGCTTTCAGACAGACTTTACTATCTTTGAAGTTGAGTTACGAGCTAACAAAAGTAGTGTGGTTCCTTTCAAGGGAATGTAGAGTTGTCTGGGGTTTTGTGGGGGGTTTTGTTGGTTGTTTTTTTTTTTGTAGGTTTTTTTTTTGTTTGTGGGTTTTTTTTCCTTTTTTTCCTTGAGAGACCTGTGCATGGCACAGTGAGTATGTGCAGTTCTGGAACTTAATTTTCATGGTAGCAGGAACAAGCTTGTGACAGCAGATCTGCATTTTGAGGAGGTCTTTGCTTGCTAAAAAACCCTATGTAATATTTTATTAATATTTAAAGTGTTTCTGGGTTTCTTCACAAAAGATTATCAGTTCTTATTTTTATTTATGTTTTGGGGAGGTCTTACACAGAATTATTTTTAGCATACAAGATATATAGTTATACAGACCCCAAACCCCTAGCTTCAGTTAGCACATAACACTCAAAATGCAATTGTTGTTGCTGCCTTGGTTTTTTTGGCTGTTAAAATGAGAGCAAAATTTTGTCTCCTCAACTATTTCCTATCTTAAAAAGAGGCTGTCAGCCATTCTTGGTTATCAAGGCTTTGTTTTAAGATGGCAGAATGCTGTAAAACCCATGGAAGGGTTTTAATACTTCCCCTTGTAAGTGATTTGCAGACCAACGAGAAACCGTCTTGTGCTCGCTTGTGTCTCCCTAGGAGGAGAGGGAAGTGAAGAAGTGGGACTTGTCCAAGCTGGCACAGCTGAGGAGGAAGTTTTGTGAGTACCAGACTTTCAGGACTGAGTGCCAGAGGCAGAATTATTTCTGTTTAAGGCTACAGTGTCCTCGCTGCACAGCGATGGCTTTGGCCAAGCTTGAATGCTGTTACGGGGCTGTGTGACCTACAATGGACTATCCTGTTGGCAGGCTCTTTCTGAGTCTTGTAACTTCTTATATGTACTACGTAGTGTGAGTAAATTGTTGTTTTAGACAACTGCAAATTCATAACTGGAATGAACTAAATTTCTTGGTTGACACTGTTTAACTGTATGCTTGTTAAATGAGAAAAATAATTTCCATCAAAGAATATCAGTGCACTGATGTGCAAAAAAGTAGATAGTTTTTCTGTTCTTGGTGGGTTTGGGGTTTGGGTTTTGGTTTTTTTTTTTCTGTTGTTCAGTTCCAAGTAACGGGAAGTGCTTAGGCTTTGGTTTATATTGTACTTCTGAGTCTT